ATGCTATGCAACTTGAGCTCTCCTATTCCTTGTATCTCAACATCCATAGGTTCCTGTCCCGAACACATCACAGTGAGTGTATACACTCGTGGAGCAACACAGTATTTAACTGGGTCCATGTGCCATAGCTCAAGCGGTTAGTCGCTGGCTTCCCACCATTGAGGCCCGGGTTCAATCCCGGAACTGGTAAAGTGGGATTTGTGGTGGAAAAAGTGGTGCTGGGGCAGGTTTTCTCCTAGTTCTTCGGTTTGCTCTGCCAAGCCTTATTCCACCAAATTCTGCATCATCATAATCATACTGGGCAGGCTACAGTATGTCACTCAGTGGCCGCCATGGAGAGTGGACCCAGTTAGACTCCAACCCCCACTAAGCGAATTTAAAAAAAAGAAAATTTTTACTGTGGTAGATGGTTACCAATATTCTGAAAGGACCCTGAACATCAGTTCTACCTTGAAGTTAGGGGCACATGGCAATACATCCCGGAAGATATTATTACTCTTTGCTGTGAAGGCAGTATTCTTTATCTTGAAGGAACCTTGAGTTTTACTTCTGCCATGAAGATGGAGAGAGCAGGCTTCTCAAATACTGATGGCCCCCGTAAAACTAATGTTGATATAATCTGGTAGGCCACAATCCAAATCAGGGTTCATGTTTAGACAGTGTGCTTTTATATATGTCAAATCAATTATACTGAAAGGTTCTTGATAAATACCTTGATACCTGCGATATTGTCTTTCAGCCCTGTGACTGTAAGACAGAGGTAGGATACCCAGAACAGCAGCACCATCATCCTCACAACTAGTTCTACACAGACCTCTGATAGCAAGTGCATTGATGATGCTAGTCTTCAGGGCATCTACAAACAGTCCCACAGTTGGATTGTTGTTCAAACCAGACTACGAACGAATAGCTCCAAATGTGTTCACAAGGTGATCATCAAACAGCTGTTGCCAGGTATTCACCACAGCACCGTCCTGAGAGATCATTAAAAAGGAAATTAGTGGGCTTCCTTACATGATGTACTATCGATTTGAAAATAACAAACTTTACTCTAAAGCAACTGCCAATACTGCCATAAGAATTTTGTATATTTGATTAAATTATTCCCCATAGCTTTTGCATTTGTCAGATATTGGAGAAAAAATGGGAGTACGATGAGACAGTACATCAGCTATTCATAGAATTCAAGAAAGACTATGATTCAGTTAGGAGGGAAGTACTGTACAATATTCTTATACAGTTTGGGATACCCAGTAAACTAGTTAGGTTGATTAAAATGTGTTTAAACTAAATGTATAGTAAAGTCCATGTAGGTAAATATTTGTCTGATAAATTTCCTATCCATAATGGTTTAAAATAAGGGGCTCCAAACTACGGCCTGTGGGCCACGTGCGGCCCGCAATGTGATTTTATCCAGCCCGCGAAATAATTGTGCAGAAATGCGCCAATTGAACTGATTTTCCAATGAGTACTGGTAAATGTGATTCCGAGCTTATTGACCTGACATATTATACTGCATTTCGATGGCTTAGCTGTGGAAAGGTTATTTCACACTTCTTTCAGCTCAGGAATGAAATTCATATATTTCTTACCGAGAAAAACCATCACGAACCACTTTTATCAGATACCAAGTGGCTTTGGAAATTAGCAGTTTTGCTGATCTGGTAAACAATATGAACCATTTCAATTTAAAGTTGCAGGGTGAAAACAACTTAGTCTGTGATTTATTTGCACTTATCAAGGCATTCAGAGCAAATTCGATACTTCTGGAAAGGCAAGTGAAAAAAAGTAACTTTGTTCATATGCTATACTGTGCAGAGTTGCATAAAAAGGGTGAAGCAGAATTTCATTCCTCGTTTGCAAATTTAGTCATTTTAGATTTGAAAGAACAATTTCGGAAGCGATTTGCTGATTTGGATGCCAATGCTCAGGAAATTAGATTGTTTCAAAATCCGTTTGACTGTGATGCTGCAGATGTCCAAAGTCAAATTCAAATGAAAATTATTGAACCCCAGGAAAATTATCATATTAAAGACAAATACAAGGAAGGAAATTTGATCGAATTTTATAAATTTGTGAACTCTGAGCAATTTCCAAATTTAAAGAATTTTGCCTGTAAATTTATCTCCATTTTTGGGATGACATATCTGTGTGAACAGACTTTTTTCCCAGATGAAGTACATCAAGTAGAAATACAGGGCAAATTTACCCGATGAACATTTAAAGTCAGTACTTGTGATTAGTGTTTGAAAATTTGAACTTCAATTTAATCAGATTTTAAGAATGCAAAAAGAGTTCCATCATTCACATTAATTGTTGTAATACAATTTGTGATGAAAATATGAGCATTTGCTGCTACTGTCTGTTGTCATTAATATACGATAATTTATTCTCACGTACTTTGTATTTAGTTTATGATATTCTGTGCTTTCAGTAAAACTCATATACCTAGAGTTATTAATTTCTCTTTTTATCTGGCCCGTTGAAAGTGCTGAATTACCTAATGTGGCCTGTGGTTCGAAAAGTTTGGAGACCTCTGGTTTAAAACAAGGAGATGCTTTATCGCCACTCCTTTTCAAGTTTGCTTTAGAATATGCCATTAGGAACGTCTAGGGAAACCAGGTGGGACTGAAATTAAATGGGACACATCAGCTGTTGGCCTACGCCGATGATGTGGATCTACTCGGTGATAATGTAGATACCATAAAGAAAAACACACAAACTTTAATTGACACAAATAAAGAGGTTGGTCTAAAAGTAAGCACTGAAAAAACTAAGTATATGTTGCTGTATCATCACCAAAATATAGGGCAAAATCATGATATAAAGGTAGGAAACAGATGTTTTGAAAATGTGGCACAATTCAGATATTAGGGAACAACAATAACAGATCAAAACCTGATTCAGGAGGAAATTAAGAGGAGATTGAACTCGGGTAATGCTTGCTACCATTCAGGCCAAATCCTTTTTTGTCTTCTCGTCTGCTGTCCAAAAACATAAAAATTAGAATATACAAAACTATAATTTTGCCTGTGGTTCTGTATGGGTGTGAAACTTGGTCTCTGACATTAAGGGAGGAACACAGAATGAGGGTGTTTGAGAACAGGGTGTTGAGTAGAATATATGGATCAAAGGGAAATGAAGTGAGAGGAGGTTCGAAAAAACTGCATAACGAGGAGCTTCATAGCTCAAGTCAAGTAGAATGAGGTGGGCAGGGCATGTAGCACGAATGGGGGAGATGAGGAACGTGTATAGGATATTGGTGGGAAAGCCAGAAGGAAAGAGACCACTGGGAAGACCAAGGTGAAGGTGGGTGGACAGTATTAAAATGGATCTTAAGAGAGATAGGATGGGATACTGATTGGATTGATCTGGCTCAGGATAGGGACCAGTGGAGGGCTCTTGTGAACACGGTGATGAACCTTCGGGTTCCATAAAATGCTGGGAAATTCTTGAGTAGCTTTAGAATTGGCGGCTCCTCCAGAATGGCTCAACTCCATGAGTGAGTAAGTAAGTAAGTAACCAAAGTCTTTACCACCTTTTTTTTCTTGGAACTACAGCCCCAGCGGGCCTAGGCCTATCTCCATGAACTCCATTCACTACGGTTTTCTAGATCTTACACATACAGTAGGACTCCTTGGGCGAGTGATCAGCTCGTTGCAAGGCCTCTACCTGTAGACACAGAAAAAAGCACTCAGACATCCATGCCCTGAGTGAGATTCGAACCCATGATCCCGGCTTCTGAGCGAGCGAAGACAGTGCAAGCCTTAGACCGCTCGGCTACCGTGACCGGCCTTTACCACCTTACTCTCTTATAAATCCTGTTACTGATAGTCTGTTCTGCTTTTTAAACATGTTTAATTACCCTAAAACATTTGCATCTTGTTGCACTCTTTCATTTTATTATAAATCTTAAAAAAGTTAAAAAGTTGCACATAAGACAGTAAAATAAGATTCATAATAAAATTCTAAATTGATATACAGTTTCACGAGTAATGAATGATGATGACAATGATGTTTGTTTGATCACAACTTGGTTCTTGGGACAATCACTTTGAGAATTAGCTCTCAATATTCTCATTAGCCACTTCTTTCATAACAGAACATAATTCACAGTATAGAGTGCAGTGGTCCTTACCTGTAGCTACTAGAGCACTGTGGCTTGCTTCAATGATTGATATGCCTGAGTTCCCCTATCAGATGCATGTATATTAAAAGGGCTTTCGAGAAACGAGGTTTCTTTGACTGCAAAAGTTGGTGGCTGCTGCTGGTAATGGTTGCAGTGCAAACATTTGAAAGGAAATGGAAGGACTGTGTGCATGGATATGAAAATGTGTTACAGGGGATGGCACCAGTGTCTTGTTGTAGGTGGTGGGAAATACAGCATCATTACAGTCTTTGTGAGTTGTAACTGTGGGCAAGGGATCCAAGGAAGGGACATGACATTGCGGGAGTGACTGTGAAGCAGAATCTGAGCCAAATGGATCTGCCACTCTGTTCAGGTGTACCCTTTCAGCTGTAGTGAAATCACTTTCCAGGAAATGTTTGCTGCACAAATAATTACTGTGCAGTATTGTAGCAGAATCAATAGTGCCGGATATTCCAACTTTTCTTGCCCATACCGCAGCCCTGTAAACGTAGATCAAACAGTCTCAGAACCTAGAATTAATTCTTCAGTAAACATTACAAACTTCGTGCACAATCTAAATGTTGAGGTTATGTTGAATACACTGAACAAAGTCATACGCTAAACTTAATTTCTTCGTTGGATTAACCAACACATAATAAAGTCGTTACACTATGAATTAATAGATATATACTGTGCTGTATCCTTGGGAAAGATGAAGAATTTGACTCCTTCCCTGCTTGATGACAAGCATCCAGCAGCACCACAAGTGTTCTTTTTCATGTTTAATAAAAATTATTACACCATCAGGGTACCGTTAAAACTCCTTGACATTCTACAGACATTCTTTGAGCTAAACCGAAAGTTGGGGAACATATCGCAAACCAAATATGACTTACATGACAGTTTATCATTACCTCAAAAATTTTTGGTTTTGGATGAATTCTGTAAATTTTTAATTCCATTTCTTGTAGTAAACATAACATTCATACACACAAATAATATGTTTAACATGGAAATGTAACTTCGTAAATGCCTACTTGTGTTTCACAATCACTTCAAATCAAAATTGCGGGAATTCAAATTGGTTCGCGTATGCTCTCTGATTGGTCGAGATCTGTATGTAATTTCAGCCACCACACAGATGGAGGCGGTAGTTACTAATGTTCGCTAATGTTTCCACTTCTATGCCAGTTTCGACCCCATGGACATGTGCAGCATAAGTGCACAAGATGTAAAGTTCACATAATCTGCTCCTGTCTTCGTGTTTTACTGTGTTCCACGTTTGTATTTCATTGCCTGCTCTTGCTGTTTTGAATAAGAATTAATTTTGAAACTGGGATATTTCTTGGACACGTTGGGAAAATTTATGCGCTACAGACGGCAACACTGTTCAGAAGATGCATATGTATTAATAAGGACCGGTAAGGACGATAAGGAAGGTGTAGTTGTTAACAGTTTCTTCCAGCCAGAAATAAAAGTTATTGAAGTTTAAATGTAAGTAAATGGAATGCTATAACGTAAGAATTATAAGTACTTTATGTTGTACGAATATTATGTATCTGGGTAATGTCAAGAAACTAGTTCTAACATACCATCTTCACAATCGTGCATTGATGCTAACTTCATTACTAGGGACCGGTTTTTAATGCAACTGCATATTTCTTTCTTGCAACCAGAATGTATGCTCATTTGAATATATGTATGAATTACTTAATTTTTAAATTTTGTACATGGTTTGGTGGTGCATATAAATGCATATTTTGCCTGTTTTATGAATAAGCATCATATTTTCGAAGATCTATTTATACTGCATGTTTCCATTTTAAAAAGTTTATCATATAAATTTTTTAATTTTATGGTCAGATTTTCAATCATGGTCATGTTTATACAAATTTTCTTTTCCGTACTAGAATATGATGCATATTTGACTCACCATTTCGTCATGATTATTGTTTCTGATGCAATACCCAGGATGGGACTTCCCCGATCCCTGTACTCCTAACTTGCATGATCCGCATAACATCAAAGATTAGTCGGAAGCGTTCCCATGTAGCCGATATCAGTGTAATACAATTCAACTGATAAGGGAAGTCATTTATTTCCTAAGTCTCCTTGAGGTTACGCTTCTTAATTTGAAGCTGGGGGGCAGTAACATTAGTGGTGACTAGTCTGTAGTTATGCCGAGAGTGAAAGAAAGTCAGAAAACTAAATTACAGCTGTATCAGCGGGAGTTCGAAGGAGAGATGATAAGTACGGATAACGGAATTCTTTATTGCCGAGCGTGTGAGAACATGGTTGTGAAAAACGCTTTCAAGTGCTTCAGCATTTGAACACTAATATACACGAAGAGAATATTAAAATTAAATCCACGAAAAGTGCTCCTGTTCAAAAATTACTTAATGAATTTTCTAATAATAGTTTTTCACACTCTTCCTTTGATGTATGTGAAGCCTTTTTAGCCGCAGATATTCCGCTGTGGAAACTGACCAGTCCTACTCTGAGAAAGGTCATAGAGAAGTATACACAGTGCAAAGTGCCAGATGAATCTACTGTGCACAAAAATTACGTAAAACACTATCACGATCATATAATTGAAAGCATTACAGTAAGATTCAAGATAATTTTATGTGAGAATCAATCGACGAAACACAAGATTGTGAGGGGTGGTTTATTGCAAATTATATAGTTGGATCCCTTAATAAGAATGAACAATCTACCCAATATCTTCTTGCGGTAGAGAAATTTGAAACCACAAATAGCTCCTAGTTTCCGAATTTTTTATCAATTCCATGAATTTACTATGGCTGAATGGCATTCAGCATGAGCGCCTATTGCTCTTTGTGACTGATGCCGCAAGTTATATGATGAAAGCCGGTACTGCTCTTATAAAATTATATTTCCAGATATGACACATTTGACTTGACTTGACTTGCCTTGCCTTGCCTTGCCCATGGATTGCACAGTTCATGCAAATTATCCGCTTGTTGACAAGTTGGTGTCTTCTGTGAAGAAGGTATTTGTTAAAGTGTCATACAGAAAAGAAGCTTTTAAAGCAGTGACGCCGAGCGTTCCACTTCCGCCAAAACCAATTTTAATGTGCTGGGGAACGTGGCTGTGTGCAGCGAGTTACTATACCAAACATTTAGAAACAGTTAGGAATGTCATGGATACATTTGATCCCAAAAGTGCAGCATCAGTTCAGAATTGCCCAAGATGTACCAAAAGACGCAGAACTAGAAACTAATTTTTCCTATATATCTGCTCACTTCCCTCATCTTCCATCCACCATTTCCTCACTGGAGGCAAGCAATAGCAATACTACTTTTTATCAGTCGTTAAGTGTGTTCAAAACCACTGTTTCCAAATTGAATTCGGTTCGTGGAAAAGTTGATGAAGTAGTGAAGGAAAAAGTACACAGCCTTAAAAAAAAATCCGTGATATGACAAATTTGTGAAATGTGCCCCTAAGTTCCTGTGAGGTGGAAAGAAGTTTTCCCCGCTATAAGGACATCTTATGAGCCAATAGCAGGTGACTATGGAAAACCTAAAACATTTAGTAACTGTGAACTGCAACAGAAGAGAAGTTGAAAGTTCAGAGAGCTAAATGTGGGTACCATTGGTTTTTTAAATTTGTAATGAAATATGTTGGCTTTGTCATATTATTTGTATTTAAATATAGCATTTTATTGCAAGTGAACCATTCTGTGATTACATGAAATGAACCTAAACATTGATTTGTTGGCCTTAAAATAACGTGAAATCAATTTTAATATTTGGTATAAATTTTTATGTGCATATTTCAGAAGTTTATCATGCATAAATCCATACATATTCGCGGCCATTTTTACAAAGGCCTCGCGAGTGAGTTGAAATGGAAAATAATTTTTCAGGTAACCTATTGACACGATTCCACATACTTACAGGTGAAATGATGGAAGAACCTCGATTTGTTGCATTGTAATAAAGGATATATCAACGCAGTTGGATGGGGGTAGGGCGTGGTTGCCCTCCATTTCGCAACATAAACATGAATATCGCAAATGGTAAGTAACCTATTGTCATGTGTTAATGACTAAACACTGGGTTTGGATTGATTACTGGATTTACGGAACAGTTATGACTCGTAAATACAAATGGTTATAATCATCATCATCATCATCAGTAAGCTGTCAAGACGACAGGTCCACAGTCTCTTCCAAAACAATTCCTCCATTTAATGCGATCTAGAGCTTTCTCCTTCAAATGACAGTAGCCTCTTCTCTCCCCAAGGTCATCCAGCATCCTCTTACGTCTTCTTCCTCGTCTTCTTGTCACTTCTATCTGCCCATCTCTCTTTCCTTCGATAACTTCTTTTAGAAGGCAGTTTCTGCGTAAAACATGACCAATCCAATTAGCCTTCCGTTTTCTTATTTCATGTAGGATATTCCTCTGCTCACTGACTCTAATTAACACTTCTTCATTTCTCACATAATCGGTCCAACTGATCTTCTCCATCCTTCTCCAACACCACATTTCAAAACTTTCCAGATGTTTCTGATCTACTGCCCTAAGTGTCCATGTTTCAGCCCCATACAGAGCTATGCTCCAAATGTAGCATTTCACTAGTTTCTTCCTCAAATTTAAGTCCAATTTGCTGGTAAAAAGATTCTTCTTCTTGCTAAATGCAGCTTTTGCCATGGCAATCCTGGATTTAATTTCACAAGTACACCTTCCATCATCTGTTAACAAGCTACCCAAATATTTAAAACATTTCACATTCTCCAGTTGTTTTTGGTCTATCTTTATTGTGACTGGGGTTGGTTGTCTCGAAATTTTCATTACTTTTGTTTTCTCCACATTCATTTCCATGCCATAGCACCTTCCAATTTCAATTAGTCTATCAATCATGCCCTGTAGCACAGTTTCTTCCTTAGCCATTAACACAAGGTCATCTGCATATTTCACAGTTTGAATAATTTGCCCTCCTACTTTGAAGTCACCGAGCCCATCCAGAGCTTCCTTGGTAAGGCATTCGCTGTACAAGTTGAACAGAATTGGTGATAAACAGCATCCTTGTCGAACTCCTCTTCCAATCTGCACACTTCCTGTCTCCCCCCTGTCCAGTCGTACTCTAACTTTCTGATCCATGTACAATTTGCTAATCAATCTTCTTTCATGCCAATCGATACCTGTTTCTTTCAGGATCTGCATTAATTTGGTCCAGTTTACCCGGTCAAATGCCTTCTGCCAGTCTATGAAGCAAACACACAGTTCTTCATCTATCTCCAAAGTTCGTTCCGCTATAATTCTCATCATCCCAATTGCATCCCTGGTTCCTTTTCCTCTTCTAAATCCAAACTGATCTTCTCCAAGTACATCCTCTATTTTCCTTTCAATTCTTCTTTTAAGTATCTTTGCTATTATCTTTGCTGTATGTGCAATAAGACTTATTGTGCGATGGTCGCTGCATTTTGTAGCTTTTGTCTTTTTCTTTAAGGCAATCATTGTAACTTCTGTAAAGTCCTTGGGCCACTCTCCACTTTCATATATGGTGTTCATTAGTTTTGTCAGTGTTTTCAAACCACCTTCTCCCAGTAACTTGAGCACATCTCCAGGTACATCATCATCTCCTGTAGCCTTTCCCTTCCTCATTTCCTTGATAGCTTTTTCCACCTCACTTTGTAAAATATATGGTCCTTTCTCGTCTGTATCTACTTCTTCTTCCGGTTCAACTTCTAAGGTTTCTGGCCGATTAGGTCGATCATATAGTTCTGAAATATAATTTTCCCAAATTTTCAGCACTTGCCTCTGATCTACTATTCTATTCCCCTGGGAGTCTTCGATGCCAACATTTTGAATCCCATGATTCTCTTTCCATCCTAGTTCTTTTGTCTTCATGTACATCAAATCATAACGGCCTGTTCTTTGAAATTCCATAATCTCATTACATATCTTCTCAAGATATTCCTTTTTGGCCCTGTCCGTGGCTCTTTTCAATTCATTCCTCAGTCTCCTGTATTTCCTCCTGCCTTCTTCATTGTTGACATTCTTCCATTTCCTTCGCTCCTCCATTTTACTCATCATCTCCTGTGTAACCCATGGTTTTCTTGCTATCTTCTCAACTTTACCTACCAAATCACTGATAGTATCTAACATGCATTCTTTTATATCGTTCCACTGCGCTTCAGCATTTCCGCTTTCACCTTCAATTGCACCGAGTTTCTCTTCTAGAGTCTCTTGCACGCTTTGTCTTTGAGCATATAACTTCTCCAAATCCCATCTGGGTCTGCGCTTTCGAAATCCTATAATTTTCTTCAACCTGGTTCGGAACTTGGCAACCAGCAAGTTGTGGTCAGAGTCAATGTCTGCCCCAGGAAGCGTCTTCACATCCTTCACACTGTTTCTGAATCGATGTTTCACAAGGATGTAGTCCAGCTGATGCCTCTTCCAATCCCCAGGTGCCTTCCATGTGTAAATTCTTCTCTTTGGCTTCTTGAACCAAGTGTTGGTAACAATCAATCCATTTCGTTCACAAAAGTCAATAAGCATTTGACCTCTGTGATTCCGTCTTCCTAGTCCATGTGATCCAACAATATTCTGATATGGTTCATCTCCAACAATGCTGTTCCAGTCTCCCAATATGATGCTGTTTGTGTCTCCTCTTCCATCTTCCTGAAGAATTTCTTCAATTGTGTCATACACTTTTTCCACTTCATCATCTTCATACTCTGATGTTGGCATGTACACTTGTATAATCAGTATATCTACCGGTTCCGCCTTTAACTTCAGAGCAATAATTCTGTCATTACAAGCAATCTTCTTAACAACACTCCTCACTACACTTTTATGCACCACTATTGCCACACCTCTTTCAGCCCGTTCACCTCCGGAATAATACACTGTATAATCACCGCTTCTTATTTCACCTTGTCCTTTCCACCGCACTTCGCTGACACCTAGCACAGACACTTCATTCTTCTGCATTTCCGTTTTCAAATTCTCCAATTTTCCTGCTTGATTCAAGGTCCTGACATTCCATGTTCCAATCTTGTATCCATGCTGTTTCTTCTGATCTTCGCACTTTTTCTTGTTGTAACGCCTGCATGACATTTCCTCTAGAAACACTCCCCCCCGGAGATCCGATTGGGGGAGTAGTTTACCTCCGGATTGTTTTGCCTCCAGAGGAAACATCTCGCATATATGGTATCTCTGTTTTTGGAAAGAGACTATCCAGGAAAAGTGATAATGTGGTAGTTTTTCCATTTGCTTTCCACATCGCAGTACAGCAGCCGTTCAAACCACTCTGGTCACGCCTGCTGCTATACGAACTTGAATCATCTCGAGCATCATTTGCTCTGTGCTTCAAGTCGCTACTGATGACGCTACTTCCGGCATCAGTTTTTGGTGTCTCTCTTTGTCTGATGCCTACCCTTTGACCTGTCCAGCAAGGGAGGCCCTGCCAGTAGCTACACTACCGCTGGTATAGCTCTCAGGGTCCTTGGCATACTCAAACCCCCTCACCACGATAAGGTGGAGACAACAACGAGGGGGGGTTATAATAGCCTCGTTAATTTACAGACACTACAAATACAAATAAATACGGCATGCACTAAATCTTCGCAGTTTGTCAGTCTTCACTGGTAGTTGCTAGGTAACATTAAAGTCAAGTCACATTGCGACCGACCATCGGTCAGTCCGTCCTTCTTGGTGTCGAGCCGCCTCTACTGTTCATGACCAGGTCTTAGTTACTGACAGACCATTACGGTTTTGTCGATATGGGGCAGCCTCTCTGACGAGAGGACAGATGTCTCATTTGTTGAAGTCATTGTCCATCTGTCATCAGTATATTCTGAATGTTTGCAGTTTTACATGTATAGTACATGATATAATACAATGCCTTTATCAATCCAGGTTGAGAACAATAGATCATTTCCTATCTTAAGCAGCTCCCATTACAACAGTAGCCTAGTCTCTTGAATGATCACACGCTTAACTGCCTCTGTCTGTTCGATAAGGTGAAGGAACCTCTCCAGAATTTTCAAGCAAGTCTCTGCAAACAGTTCAAGATCTATGTGTAAGTTTTGCAGGTGTGTACTGAGCTCATAGCACTGTCTCCTAATGCTGTCTCCTTGTTACGTATATATCATCACCATGTACCTTGTAGAAGACATTGTTTCCCACAGCATGATGAGTGACGTATCTGTTGCCTTATAAGTTACATCTCTTCCCCTGCTAGTTTATTCAAGTCCAGTAGTAGCTGGGAAGTCCTCTGTTCCCTATCTAAGATCCCATTCTTTTTCACACATTTATTCTACATAATCTGCAGAGTGCTGTAAATAAATATGTTCAGTAAGCACTTTTTCGTGAATGAGTTATGCCCAGTTGTGCAACTCATACTCGTTTTTGTTTTCAATTAGGTATCATTTGAATGCTTGTACTGGGGTTTTGCTCACGTCTGTCTGGTAGAGTTAGGATGGTGTATCTTTTCAGTCTGTGTAGTTCCACTATTGTCAAGTAGGTTCACTGCTAGCGCATTTGTGTGGTTTTCTAATTTTCTTAAGTATTTCATACTCCACTTTTTTATTTCACTGAGCACTGTTTTCATTTTGAGACCTTCATCGATCCTGTGATTGTTTATGTACCAAGGTGCGTTTCGAACGGATTGGAGGTCTTGGATCTAAAGCGCTGCAGGATTTCGATGTTGGACTTGGGGGCTGTTCCCCATAGCTGAACAGAATTCTGTAAGTCCATATGGGTTTGAGTACTGCTTTGGTTAGGAGGAGTTTGCATTCTATAACGGTGTTGATTTCCTAGCAGCCAGTGCATTTGTTTCACTTTTTGGTTGAGCTGTTTTCTTTTGGTTTTGATGTGCTTTGCCCATCTCAGTTTTCTATCGAGATGCATTTTGTGAGGTAGAGCAACATTACCAATTTGCACTGTCGGATAGGTTAGGTTGCTTAGGGTGAATGTAATATGCGTGGATTTGCTTCGATTTATTTTAATTCTCCATTTCTTCACCTAATCATCGAGTTTATTGATGGTGGCTTGGAGTTTCATTGAGACTATCTCTGGACCTTCAAGTGTGGATAAGATTGCTGTAACACCAGCGAGGGTAGCAGTTGTATTTTCTGATGTCGGGTGATCTCTTGCATAGATAAGATATAGAACAGGTCCTAAGACACTTCTTGAGGTACGCCTAATTCAGTTTTCATTAAGATTGTGATTTCATCTTTGAATTTTACTTGAAAGAGTCTACCCGTTAGATATGACTCCAGTATTCAGTAGTCTGCATGGGGAAAGGTTTTCTGATTTCGAACAAGAGGCCTGGGTGACATACTTTATCATACGCTTGTGTGATGTCTACGAACGCAGCAGAGCAGTACAGTTCCTCTTAATACCTCTGTAATTCGGTGTGCTTGTTCTGTGGTAGAGTGTTTCTGTCCGGGAGGATTCGGGTTTCTTCTACTACCTGGCGCAATCTCTTGAGTATTGCCTTTTCCAAGATTTTGCTGATTACTGGGAGTAGGCTTGCTTCCGCTAGTGGTCTACCAGATTTCGGAATCATGTGATCTGCGTGACTTTCCATTGAACTGGTGAATATCCCGTCCTGATAGTTGAGTTACATTTAATGTGTAAAATGTGGCGCGTATTGTCGTGTGTGATTCATAACCCACAGCTACGATATCCCCTTTCACCAGTGAGACTATCAACAGATAAATGCACACTGCTTATACTGTAATTCTAGGATTCAACACAATGGATCCACAGCTGCTAGCATTCATAATTTGATATTAAATATGGGTTAGAATAGTCTGTGGCATAGCACAGGTGGTTAGTCAGCTCACCCATCTTGTTGCACTGGGTTCCATCCCAGATAATGTCTCTTAATATTTGTGACGGACAAAGTGGCACTGGGTCGCGTTTTCTCTGTGTGCTCCAGTTCTCAATCCACCATCTCCTAAACAGCTGGTCTATAATTCAGGGAATTTCCGCTAGCTGTTGTGAATTAATACCCGATTTATTTCGTGTATTCAAGAGCCAGTTCGTATAGTTACTTTTGATTGCACTGATCTAAACAGGCAGTGAAAAAACACTGCAGATTTTATGGGATTGTCATGCTGTGTAATTACCTGGGCATGCCCTGCTTTTCTAAAATGAACAAATTGGCATTACCGTAACAAGTCAGATATTTGGAGTGTGAATGTGCATCTGTGGAGCATTCTCATGTCGTTTTATTTATTATTTTTCAGGTGTCATGGAAGCCAACAACATAATACGAGGGGAAAATGGGGAAATCAGCGTAAGTTTCAGAAAAGCAATAATTTATGCACAGCCTCTACTTAGTCTCTAAATGATGTATTGAAATGGTTTCTGAGAGAGAGAGAGATTTCCTCGATAGGATTTTGAAAATAATAAATTGCCATAAGATTAGAAAGGTATCTCTCAGAAACTCAGTCACTTAATCAGTAGATGAGTTCCAAATAGGTTTAATTCTCAGATGTTTCTTGTACTGGTGTGTTGCAGATGCTGAAAGTGCTGGGCCTATTAATTAGCTCAGCACTCTTATTACATGGCCAGATGTGCTTGGGTAAGTTTCTTGACAGCTGATTCTTTACTTATCAACATGGCCTGGATTTTGATGACCTAAAAGTATTTTTTATGACCGAAAATCCAGAAAAATTATCTAAAAGTTAAGAAACTATTTAAAAATATATCATGTCATTAAAAATCTCCTAATTATTCTAAAATGTAATTTTAATGTTTATGAACGCTGTGAACTCAATGTTACCCTTTTAAGTTCCTCTTCGTTTTCATGTTGAAAATTAAGCAGTATATGATTTAATTTGAAGCTATGAGTTTTAATGCGATTTTTTCTACCGCGTTGGAATGCTTATCATATGTACATATTATAGTATTTCTTGTACTTGAAGAAACTCCTTTCCACAGCTGCAGACACTATGGGAGCATACTTCAAGAGTACCAAATCACTAGAAATAAGTTCCTCTTCAATATTGAAAGTGCTGAAGTCCCTTGTACTGCGGCCACTTCTGGCCTATTGTATCAGCCCCAGATGATAGGTGAAGGTGATTGTGGAGCAATTGGTGGAATGAAGATTGGCAGGAGAAACCGAAGTACTTGGAGAAAACCTGCCCCAATGCCATCTTTGTCCACTACCAATCCCACTTGACCAGATCTGGGATCGAACCCGGGCCGCCGCGGTGGGAAGCCAGCGACAAACCGCTTGAGCTATGGCTCGGCCAGTTGTAGCACTTGGAAAGGTATGTAGTTTTTCCTTATGGAGGATTCATCCGGGATAGAACGACCACTATTCACTTCCAGAAAATTTGTCAGTTTTTCATTTTTCAGAGCCCAAAACGGAATATTTGCGGACGCCAGAGCATCACACAGATCTCTGAAGAAATCGGATGACTTATTTGCAATAACATTTGCACAGGTTTCGTTTTGTTCGAAATTTGCACTGCTCGTATATGCTTGTCACGGCCAATATGTAGTTGTACCGTGAATCTTTTTTCTGCCGCTTCTTTGTGTCACAGATCTTGCAGAATATCATCTCCAAACTCACTACAAATTGCTTTAAATGACACGATTTAGTTGGCTTTCCTTTTGGCATCATGATAAAATTAATCACTCTAGCACAACACGGAACTGAACTTTTCTCACTGAGAACCTTTCTTCAACTGTATTTTATCTGTATGGTCAAGGGCGAGGAACTGAAGACAGAAGGAGTTTTACTGAACGACAATGCCATATGAAGCAAGAGATTCCGACTAGAAATATGTGTAACTAAGGAAATTGCTTTGTACATAGAGCCGCAGTGTGAGTAGTCATCGCTGTACCCTGTTTTATGATATGTATTGTCAGCAGTTCCGCGAAACGAACGGAAAGGACGGGCCAGGATTAGAACCTATTATTGTATACTATGGCCTTTGTAGAGAGCGCTTAGGAGAAAGAGAATGAAAGAACACTTTGTTTCCATATTAATCACATTTCAGAAAACATATGAAGAAAAATTCCTTAAAATGGCCAAAAATGACAAGAAATGACCTTAATCCTAAAAATGTCAAAAAAAATGACAAAAGTACCTATAAAATTAACATTTCTGTAACCATCAGCTCGTATCCAAAATTTATATATTTAAGAGCATCGCTTAGGATATAAGGAAAAAAAGATGACATGTCATCAAAATCCAGGCCCTGATCATTACAGTTATCTTGTAAATGTTGCAGTAACTTGAGAATATTAACAGACATTTCTTTCTGTTCACAGACCACGATCTACAATGCTGTTTCAGCTTGGTGGGAAAGCGGACATCCAAACTGCCCACACTAGATATTTGCAATGTAAGCTTACTTTAATGTAGCTGTGCATTTCAGAATGGTTTAGAAAAATGTATGCATGGCTTAGTACAGACTTAAACGTCTGCTAACATTAAAACCCGACTGACTTCACATTTTATGTGGCTGTTTGAAAGCTTAATCGTGTTAGATGTTGGCAATTCTTTGTTCTGCACTAAGTTAAATTAGGTAAAGGAAAATTTAATCAAGCTGGAAGGGCAGTTCCTTATTATGTATAATAGTTCATACGTGAACTCTCAAAGTCAATACAATTTATAGAAACAAGCACTTGGTAAGATTGATTCTCACGCAAATGATGCTGTATCAACTGTAGAGGGTGTGTGCCGTTCATCGACATGAGAAGGCAATAACGGACTATGAGTTGATAAATATTTTTAAGGTTGCTGCCATGGCCCTGTTGTCAGACAGATTTTAACCTATATACTATATTGTCACGTGTAGGGTAGTATGCCTGACAAAAATAATGGGTTCTAGTTGGATGATTGGATTCATTAGCGCTTCGGTTACAAGTTGTCTTAATTGCAATTAATAAGATGCTTTCACTGATTTACACTTTATAATTCGCTGTTACACACATACAGTAGTCCTCTCGTGGTAATGCAATTAAACACAGGAACTAGCACTATCATACTCCTGATATCACAGCACTACAGCACACATAAATTCATCAATGTCTATTAACATTTCACAGCTGAATCCTCACAACACCTTTGCATGACGGCTTCATGTCCCTGGCTCAGGATCTCAGCTATCAGCTATGACTGACTGCAAACGAGTTTCACTCTCCCGTTTAAGACTTCGGCACAGACTCAGACCTTCAGTAAAGACATATCACGTGATCAAAGTCAAAGTCATATTGCGACTGATGGTCAGTCAGTCACTAAGTCGGGGCTCATGACCACATATTAATTATTACCGTTTGACAATTACGGCCTTATTTTTGTGGGGCGCCCTTTCTGACGAGAGGACAGGTCTATCTTTTGCATATGCTGTTGGCCCTTGCCAGCGTGGTCTTTCTCGAGTCCGAGTCCTTTGAAACTCGCCACCATATTTTACTGTCTCAGATTTGAGACTTCCCTTTTTGTCGCCTAATACGACTCGCAGGGTCACGGTGGAGGTATTCGACCCCGCTTCTGTGGTCTAGTGGTCAGAGTTCCTGGCTACAGATCCAGAGGTCCCGGGTCCGAGTACTCGCTTCGGCGGTACATATACTATCACGTGATCGCTATCCAGGTAGTCTATTGTCGCGTTGACCGGATCTACAGAAAACACGGCCTGCTGTATTGTTGCGTAACATAGCAAATACTGTTTACCAAGAATCTTGCCTTCGCAATAACTAGTTTAGCAACTCGTTGCCTAGCAATGGGTGTACACGTAACATTGCTCCCAACTTAAGATTATTCGTCCCAATTATCCTACATGCGTACCACCTGTTCTTTTCTGAGGGTTCCTTCTGGCTTTCCACCAGTATCCTATCTGCATTTCTTTTCTCCCCCATTCGTGCTACATGCTCCTCCAATCTCATCCCGTTTGACTTGATCATTCTAATTATTTTGTTGAGGAGATATGCTACAAGCTGGAAGGTCGCGGGTTCATGTCCCGATGAGGTCACTGGATATTTTTTTAATTGACCTAATCCTTACAGCAGCGCTATGGCCCTGGGGTTGACTCAGCCTCTAACAGAAATGAGTACCAGGAATTAATTAAATAATTTTCCTGGGGAGTAAAGCGCGGCCAGCGCATAAGGCTGACAACTTTCGCTACATCGTTGCGCCGATTGTCTAGATAATGTGGGACCCTCAACGTCTCACAACCCTATGGGCCTTCATGGCCTGGTACAGGCATAGCTTTACTTTTTACTTGGAGAAGAGTACAAGTTATGAAGCTCCTCATTATGCAGTTTTCTCAAACCACCTGTCAGTTCATCTCTTCGGTCAAAATATTATCCTCAACACCCTCAGTTTGTGTTCCCCCCTTAATGTCAGACACCAAGTTACACGCCCAGACAGAACCACAAGGAAAATTCTAATTTTGTATATCCTAAATTTTATGTTTTTAGACAGCAGACGAGAAGACAAAAGATTCTGAACTGAATGGTAGCAAGCATTACACGGATTCAATCTCCTATTAATTTCCTCCTGAATCAGGTTTTGATTTGTTACAGTTGCTTCCAAATATCTGAACTGTGCCACGTTTTCAAAACATCTTTTACCTATCTTTATGTCGTGATTTTTCCCTGCATTCTGGTGACAAGACAGCAACATATACTTAGTTTTCTCTGTGTTTAATTTTAGACAAACCTCCTTAGTAGCATCGGTTAAAGCTTCCTTGTTTTTCTGTGAGGTATCTATGTTATCTCCCAGCAGATTCACATCATCAGTGTAGGCCAGCAGGTGATGTGTCACATTCAATATCAGTCCTACCTGGTTTTTGTGGACCTTCCCAATATCATATTCTCAAGCAAAGTTGAAAAGCAAGGGCGATAAAACATCTCCACGTTTTAGACTATTTTGGATAAGAAAATTATCAGACAAATGTTTACCTATACACACATTTCATTTAATCCTTCTCTTCTCAGACACTCGAAAAGTTTGAATAGCGATTCCATAAGCTTGCTCGCACACGGGAGGCAATATTTGGCAATTTTAGCTTTACAGAATTCACTGTAGTTGAAACACAAATTCGACAGTATCCACGAAAGGGACCGATAAAACCACAAAGACTTAACTCAGGTTAGTCGTCGTACAAATTCCGTCCCAAGTGCAAACGCTAGAATGGACCGTTACATAGGAAGTAACAATAGCGGCACTGTAACCCCAACAGTGAGCCGTTGTACCGAGAACATCGAATCTCCACGGTTACGAGAATACGCGAAGGTTCCCACAGAGACAACGCGATAACAATGGGTCATTGCGTAGGGAACGCGGAACCGACAATGCAACGTCTCCACTGCTATAACAGAGGGTTCGTTACCTAGCAGCGGCCAAGGATAAATAGCCCAGCTTCGACGAGAGACAGTCAGTCTCGGAACAGGCCTCGGAGAAGGAGTCTCGGAATAGTCTTCGGAGAAGGAGTCTCGGAATAGCCGTCTAAGGGATCAGTCCTGGGATAACCGCCAGAGAAGCCAGTCCAGCATCGCCGAGTTATTGTGAGCAGTGATTGTAGCACTGCAAGTGTAAATGTAAAACGGAGTTCCCCGTTCTTCTTTCTGACAAAGACGCCGGGGACGCCCGACCAATCCGACAGACACCAAGGAGAGTACCCCTGGCAAAACAATCGGAAGTGAAAGAAATGCTCGTCAACATGCAAAGACAAAGCGTTACANAATCGGACAGCCCTTGGTCGTCCCCGGTCGTTTTGGTCAGGAAAAAGAATGGGGAGCTCCATTTCTGTGTGGACTACAGAAAACTGAACGACGTCACCAAGAAGGATTGTTTCCCACTACCCCGGATCGATGACACCCTGGACACCCTAGCTGGGGCGAAATGGTTTTCCACCCTCGACCTGAAGAGCGGCTATTGGCAAGTCGACGTACACCCCGACGACAAGGAAAAGACGGCGTTTTCGACAGGTCAAGGACTGTGGCAGTTCACAGTCATGCCCTTTGGCCTCTGCAACGCCCCGGCAACCTTCGAGAGACTAATGGAGACAGTCCTACGAGGCCTCACGTACGATTCGTGCCTCGTGTATCTGGACGATGTCATCATAATAGGGCGCACATTCCAAGAGCACCTGCTCAACCTACGGAAAGTGTTTGAGAGGTTCAGAGGGGCACACCTGAAACTCAACCAAGAAAAATGTCAGCTCCTACAGAAAGAGGTAAAGTACCTCGGGCACATCGTATCGCCGGAAGGGATATCTACCGACCTAGAAAAGGTGAAAGCCGTGCGAGAATGGCCGACCCCGAAGGATAAACGCGAGACTAGAAGCTTCCTGGGCCTATGCACGTATTACAGGCGGTTCATCTCAGGTTTTGCCAACATCGCAAAACCACTAACTAAGCTAACCGAGGAGAAACAGCCCTTCCAGTGGACCCCAGAAGTGGAAGCCGCTTTCCAAACACTAAAGGGAGCCCTATGTGCTGCCCCGATTCTTGCCTACCCACAGCCAGGGGAGAAGTTCATCGTGGACACGGACGCGAGTAATGTCGGGATTGGAGGAGTACTCTCCCAAATACAGGACGGACAGGAGGCTGTCATAGCTTATTTCAGCAAGACGCTGAACAAAGCAGAAAGAAACTACTGCGTCACCCGACGAGAACTACTCGCCATAGTGAAGACCATGGAACACTTCCACAAATACCTATACGGACAACAGTTCCACCTGCGCACAGACCACTCCGCGCTAACATGGTTAATGAGCTTTAAGAATCTAGAAGGGCAAACCGCACGATGGATACAACGCCTACAGGAGTATAACTTTACTTCTGAGCACCGCCAAGGCCGGAGACACAACGCCGACGCTCTTTCAAGGCGACCCTGCCAAGAGCAGTGCAAGCACTGCCACAAAGTCGAGACAAGTGCGGGACTAAATGAAGCACGCGCTATTGCAACATCACCGGCAGCCGGCTGGGACCCGGTTACCCTAAGGGAGTGTTACGCCGTGGTGGCAGGGGGCGTGGAGGTACCTCCACCGCTTCCACCCTGTACCTCTCTGAAGCCGCCGCTATACCTCTCCNCTTCTGCCGTGATGACAGAGGGCGTGGAAATATCCCGCTCTGTCACCCCGTTTAGTATGCTGCCACCATCTTGTTATTTCAAGAAATCTCGTAAACTTATCATAGCTTGCGTCCCTGTCCTGGCTTAACTCGTAATTCGCCGGAGCGTTGGGAGGTCCTGGAGTCGTCAAGGAAGAGGGTAACACTTAAGGAAATGTTGGGTTGAATTAAACTCGTACACATTCCTATCCTATTCTATTTACGCACGTCGTTATATACACTATACACACTGTGCCGACGTTTGTCGGTTGTATTACACTGGATAATG